CTGACACAGGACCCGAGGTGCAGCCTCACCAGTGCCCAGTGCAGGGGGACAGTCACTGCCCTGGCCCTGCTCACACACTGGGGCTGACACAGGCCAGGATGCCGGTGGCTTTCCTGGCTGCCTGGGCACAAGCTCATGTTCAGCCAGCTGATGTATGTGCTTAGACTGTAGGCAGGGGTTTGTGCACCCCCCTGCAGCAGGATGGGCTTCATCCAGAAAGCCTGAGCCACGAAGGAGCATTGTTAAGTGCCTGGATAGGCATAACCTGACTGAGGAAGTAGGAAGCGTGTCCTTCCTCTGCCGCAGATTCCAAGGGCATCACACACTGCCATTTCTGCTTTCTGCTAGGCTGGTATTATAGAGGAGATGCTGGAGGACACCTTTGAAAGCCTGGAGGATCAGGAGGAAATGGAAGAGGAAGCCGAGATGGAAATCGACAAAATCCTGTTTGAAATCACAGCGGGTGAGTTTGGGTTGGCTGGGAGGGAGCCATGACCCTGCTGTGCTCACATCTTCATCTCTTCTGAGCTGTGCTCTCCCTGGGGTGTTTTGGCCTTTGCCACCAGGCAGAGTGCTCTGGGAAACTGGTTTCTTGGGGAGTACTGGCCGAGGAGGCTGGTGTGGTTCAGTGAAGCAGAAGTGCTGTCGGTGCAGCTCATCAGCGAGGCTTCAGCAGCTCAGTGTCTGCATCCTCCTGCGAGGGGAAGTGTGTACGATTGACTGGACAAGCTGTTAGTAGTGAAGCCAGGAAATGAACTCGGCTGCCTCACCTTGAGTCTCAGGCCAAGTGGTGATTCCTGGCTGTAAAGTGCTGTTGGGCCCTTGAGGATTTGGGGAGGGGGAGAAAATAACACAAACCAAAGCCAAAACGCCATCTCCTGCCTTACCCCTCATGAAGTCATGATCTACTGGCTTAGATACTTGTCTTCTAATGCTTAGAATGCTCTTGTGTGGTGCTGCGACAGCTCCACAGCTCCTACCCTGCTCTTGCCTCATGCCCAGCCACTGGCATTGCCCTCCCTTGTTTCTCACTCCCTACTTTCCCTTTTCCCATCCTGTTTCCTGGCTGGGAGCAGTTCCCTTCCCGCCTCCTCCCCAGCGCGTCGACACTGATCGAGTCAGACACATGCACAACCTCTGCTCACGACGCAGACCTAACACCCACCTTTGTTTGCAGGGGCCTTGGGTAAAGCACCCAGTAAAGTCACAGATGCTCTTCCAGAGCCCGAGCCCATCGGAGCGACGGCTGCTGTGGACGAGGAGGAGGACATCGAGGCGATGCAGTCGCGGTTGGCCACCCTCCGCAGCTAAGGGGGGACCAGGGTGTGCAGGTGGCTTCTGGGACGTGGTCCTGCCTTCCAAATGCAAAACTCAATATGTGAGAGTACTTTATGTAATATATATATTGTTATTTTTCCTTCCTGGGGGTTGTGTTCTCCAAGAACCTACTGTAACATACCTCTGGCTGGGGAGTGTGGGCTGCAGAGGTCACCTTTTGCTTTTCAGCCCATCTCACCTGTGAGAGGCCGTGGTGAAATGGCAGCAATGGTGTAACCTTATGGGGTTGTAGATAGAAAGTCCTGAAATCCATCCTTAGCTTCAAGAAGCATCTTGTCCTAAAAGGCACTTTGGCTTCATCTGCTACCAGATGCCTTTCAGCAGTGTAAGAGTTTGTTCCTCCTGAATCACTACACATTTTATTAAAGCTGCTTTTAACAGTCAGTTCAGTTTGCATCACTTCAACCTCTTTTCCACCTCTAACAGCTCCCTCTTGGGTTTGTAACACGTTTGGGGTTGTTTCTTTAGCACATAGTTGAAAAGGTTTTAGCTGTGGCCCAGGTGTTGTACGTTCACTACACTCCCTTTTCAGCAAAGAACAGCTCCATTTCCCTTCTCCACAGCCACATACTCCCAGTGTAAGGCTTTGTGTCATGAACTGTGCAGTGTTGCTGGCAGATACAATGGGTTTATGGTAGTGCTGCTGCATGATCTATCCTTCCACAAAGCAGCTGATTTACCTCTGTGCCAAACACCACAGCCCAGGGGCTGGAGCTGAGCTAAGATGACACTCCCTCTCTGCGGCTGGAGCTGGGAACCTCCCAGAGACAGGATGTGACCCTACACATGCCTAATAGTCACGCTGTGATCATTTCGGAAAGGATCAGAGGCTGCAAAGCCTTAATCAGGCTTATTGAAAGGGCTTCCTTAGATGACAATCTCCACCACAGCACCTAAATTCATCCTTTAGAAGCTGGAGAATTGGATGTTCAGGTTAAATGAAGGAAGAGTAAATGAAATTTCAGCCTGGAGAAGGCTCTGGAGAGACCTGATCATGGTCTTCCACTAAAAGGGGCTGACAAGAAAGCTGGAGAGGGACTTTTGACAAGGGCCTGGAGTGACAGGACAAGGGGAGGGTGGCTTTAAGCTGACAGAATATTTAGTGAACCCTTTGTAAGTGCTGAGTATAACTCTTTCTTTAATCAGTTTCACAGAATCCCAGACTGGTTTGGGTTGAAGGGACTTTAAAGCTCATCCAGCTCCAACCCCCTGCCACGGGCAGGGACACCTTCCACTAGAGCAGGTTGCTCCAAGCCCCTGTGTCCAACCTGGCCTTGAACACTGCCAGGGATGGGGCAGCCACAGCTTCTCTGGGCACCCTGTGCCAGTGCCTCAGCACCCTCACAGGGAAGAGCTTCTGCCATCAAGAAATGCCAAATCAGGGCTTCATTGCTGCGACGACTAGAATGGAGCCAGTGCAGTTACTGGTGGAGGGGAGTTCTCACTGAACACGTTGAAGAGGTGGTGCTGAGCAGAATTTAAGCCAGCAGCACAAACAAGCCAAGTGACCAGGAGCATTTCCCTGGACAAGGATGAGACCACAACACTTTTGCTGCCTCAGTTTCTCACCCAGCATCAGTGATCCAGCAGAGGCAAAGCCAGCAGTGAGCTGTCACACTGTGGGCTGGCACAGAGGAGAGGTGATGGCCACACGAGCCTCGCTCAGGTTTTAGTCTCTATTTGGGAGGAAGGCAGCCGCTGTGCCTGTTCAGAGTGCACACAGCACCTGATCCTAACTCCCTGCAAGTCACTGCATGCTCTGCTCCACTTCAGGTACTGACAGAGCAGTTAATGCTGATCCCAAGTGGGATGTGAGGTACCATGGGGAGGGGAATCAGCACGGAGTTTGTCACTGTGTTGCCTGAAGTTCAGAAGTGTGACTTGTGGCTAACTGGGACCTTTCCTCTCCCTCCTGGTTCTGCCCAACAGCTCCCCTGTGTGTTTGATGCCATAACTGGAGAACAGAAAGGTTTGGTTTATCTCAGGTTATTCCATTAGATGCCCCTGTGCCTGGTGTATGATGGCTTCAGTCTTTCTCCAAGTGATTCCACACGACCTCCTTGTCTCTAAA